ATTGACTTTTTTTTAATTGCTTTTCTATTTTCTATTTCATTTATTTCTGCTCTAATCTTATTTCCTTCCTTCTAGCTTTGGATTTGGTTTGTTCTTTTTCTAGATGCTTAAGTAATAAAGTTAGGTTGCTGATTTGAGATCTTGTTTTTAATGTAAGCATTTCTAGCTCATTTTCCCTTTTAGTACTGCTTGTGCTGGATTTCATAAATTTTGATACTGTGTTTTTGTTTTCATACACCTCCAAGTATTTTCTAATTTTCCCTGTGATTTCTTCTTTGATCCATTGGTTATGAGTGTGTTAATTTCCACAAATTTGTGTGTCTTCCAGTTTTTCTTCTATTATTGATTTCTAACTTAATTTTATTTCTAACTTCACCCCAAGAAGAGACTTTGTATTTCTTTTTTTTTTTTTATCCTTTTTGTCTTTTTTCGTGACCGGCAACGGATCACAACCCTCAGTGTCACGCCCGTACCGGACCGGGACCGGCCACGGGATCACAACCCTTGGTGCTGCTCCCACCCCTTGCTCAGCCAGTGAGCGGCCGGTCCGTACGTGGGATCCAAACCCTCGGCAGGAGCGCCGCCGTGCTTCCCAAGCGGTGCACTATAGCAGTGCGCCACCGGGCCGGCCCGATACTTTGTATTTCTATTTCTCAAACATCTATTAAGACTTTAATTTGCACCCAAACATATGGTCTATCCTGGAAAATGTCCCATGTGCACTCAAGAAGAATGTGTATTCTGTTGTTTTGGGGCAGAGTGTGCTGTATATGTCTGTTAGATCTAGTTGTTTTTTTCTGTTGATTAAGCCCTCTGTTCTTATATATCTTCTGTCTTGTTGTTCTATTCATTATGGAGAGTGAGGTGTTGATGTTTCCATCTATCATTATAGAACTGTCTATTTCTCCCTTCAGTTCTGTCAATTTTCATTTCATATATTTTGATAGCCTCTCATTAGATCTGTAAATGTTTATAATTGTTATATCTTCTTGGTGTACTGATTCTTTTTTATTAATATATAATGTCCTTCTTTGTCTCTAGTAACCTTTTTTGATTTAAAATCTATTTTGCCTGATATTAGTATACTTATCCCTGCTCTCTTTTGTTTACTATTTCCATGGAATATCTTTTCCTATCTTTTCACTTTCAATCTATTTGTGTCTTTGGATCTAAAGTGAGTCTCTTCTAGCCAGCATATAGATGAACCGTGTTTTTTAAATCTATTCTGCCAATCTCTGTCTTTCAATTGGACATTTTAATCCATTTATATATAAAAATAATTATTGATAAGCAGACTTACTTCTTTCCTCTTTCTTCTTTCTGTTTGTATTCTGTACACCTTACAGCTTTTTTGTCCCTCATTTCCTGCATTACTGCCTTCTGTGTTTAGTTTTTTTGCCGTGAAATATTTAAATTTCTCATTTTCTTTTAGGTAGATTCTATAGCTATTATCTTTGTGGTTACCATAAAGATTACATTAAATATCCCAAAGTTCTAACACTCTAACTTGAATTTTACAAGCTTAACATCTATAAAAAAACAAAAACTTTGCTCTTCTGACAGTTCCATCCCCACCTCTTTCTGTTGTTCATATCACAAAACTACAACTTTATACACTGTATGGCCTAAAACATAAACTAATAATTCTTTGAAATGCTTCAGCCTCTTAAATTATGTATAATAGAAAATATGGGGTTACAAACTAAAGTTATAATAATAGTAGCTTTTAAATTAATATATACTTTTAATCTATTAGTCTCTTACATCACACAGGAAAGAGAAAATATGGTTATGAACCACTGTTACAATAATGCCAGCTTTCATAATTGTCCATGCATTCACCTTTACTGAGATCTTTATATCTTCATATGGCTTCCAGTTACCATCTTGTGTCCTTTCATTTCACCCAGCAGGACTCCCTTTAGCATTTCTTGTAGGGCAGGTCTAGTGGTAATAAACTCCCTCAGCTTTAGTTTATCTGAGAATATCTTAATTTCTCCCTCACTTTTGAAGAACAGTTTTGCTGGGTATAGGATTCTTGGTTGAGTTTTTTTTTTTTTTTTCCTTTTAGCACTTTGAATATAACAGCCCACTATCTTCTGGCCCCCACTTTCTGGTGAGAAATCTGATGATAATATCGAGGATCCCGTGTATGTGATAAGTTGCCTCTCTTTTGCTGCCTTCTAGATTCTCCGTGTTTTTGGCTTGCAAAAATTTGATTATTATCTGTCTCAGTGTGGCCTATTGAAGTTTATTACTTGGAGTTTGTAGAGCTTCCTGGATGCTTATATTAACGTCTTTCATCAAATTTAGCAAGTTTTCGGGCCAGCCCGGTGGCGTACTCGGTAGATTGCGGCGCTTGGGAGTGCAGCGGCGCTCCTGCTGAGGGTTCGGATCCCATATAGAGACCAGTCCGCTCACTGGTTGAGCACGGTGCGGGCGCAACACTGAGGGTTGCGATCCTGTTGCCGGTCGCGGTACGGGCGCGACACCAAGGGTTGCGATCCCGTTACCGGTCACGAAAAAAGATCAGAGGCATAAACTTAAGGTTTTCTCAGGTATTTTCTGAGCCTGTGCCTTTTCCTTGGGCATTTCCTCCATATATGCAGTTGCTAGTCTTCAATGTCTAGCGCCAAAAAGAGGAAAAAGAAGAATGAAATAGGGTGGGGAGAATGGCACTGGACCTTTAAGCTCCCTAGAAGTCACTTAGGCTGGATGGGGAGGGGCTTGCAACATGACAGAGGTGCAACAATGGCTGCTCACCTTTTTAATGGCCACTGCACCTCTGTAATAAGAAGTAGAAATCAGAGCACAGATCTCCGATGTTCGGAGGACAGGATCTTTTATGCCCACCCTGGCTCCAGCAAGCTGGGTGTAAGCTTCCCCAGGAACATGTGCACAGCTGCCTGCCATGGGGCTAGAGGTGGGGGAGCTGCTACTTGACCATAATTAACCCCAATTTGCTATCCGAGCCTTGCTTGCCCTGGAAGCTGCAAGCCTTCAGTGGACTCCAGAGTTCCAAAATGGTCACATCAGACAGATTCTGCCAGTCCAATTTTTGTGTAGGTGGGGAGACAAATTCCTGGTGCTTTCTACTCTGCTGTCTTTCCAGAATCATCTCCCTTCCTTACATTTTAATGTAAAGTAAATGCCAAAATTGCTTGTCCTTGAATTTACCTTCCACTCATCAGAGCATTACATTCAGCCTGTAGATGGCCTTATTTTGCTGCTCTCCCTCTGGACCACCTATAGCACCTGGGTGTACCCAGACCAGACATGGGAAGGAAGAAGGATAGCCTAGCCATCTGCTCTAAGAAACAACAATGTATAAACAATTGGTTTTGAAAGTTTCCACGTACAGTTGATGCTTGAACAATGTGGGAGTGCGCAGTCAAAGATCTGAATATAACTTTTGAAATACTTTCCCCCAGGTTGTGGTAGAGCTGCTATTTGGGTCCTGAGCCACATGGAGGACTCCATGTCTTACTTAGTACTTAACTATTTAGTTATTTAACTACTAATAGCCTACTGATAGCCTACTGCTATGCAGGCTACTTAACTGTAAAAATTTTCAAAATTAAAAAAATAATTCCAATATATTTATTTTAAAAATCCACACAGTTTAAACCCGTGTTGTTCAAAGGTTTGCTGTGGTTACCTTTTTAAAGAACTCTCCATTACTGAAACTGAACATTATGCAAGAGGATCAATGCTACCCATGGTGTTATAACACCATTAGTACATCCAGTTTTCTCCCTAACCCTTTAAGACCCCAAACTTATGTAAAAGTATCTGATAGAAAGGGATTGCTTCTCTCTATTCTTTCTGTACACAGCAAATAACATGCACACAATATACTCACAATATTTACTGACAGTGAGACACAGAGGCACCAGGCAGGTCTCTCTGCCCTTTTTTTAGAACAATCTGGAAGGCCTGAACCAAGCTCTATGGCAGAAATTGAGCAAACACTAAAGGTAAGTTATTTCTCTGCCATGTACTGCCCCATATGCTGACCATTTATATAATATAATGGTCAGGGCTATGCTGACCATTCCAGTAGAACCACTTTGAAATAAATCAGCTATATTCATAATCTGAAATTAAACATATTAAAAAAAACATTTTGAATTAAAACGAATAGATCCAAGATATAAATGACCCATTAGAAAAAGTACTAACTATATGGAGTTTATGATTCCTAATAAAAATGGTTCCTACAGGGCTGGCCCGGTGGTGCACTGGAGAGTGCGCCGCTTGGGAGTGCGGCGGCGCTCCCACCGAGGGTTCGGGTCCCATGTGGAGACCGGTTCCCGCTCACTGGCTGAGCGCGGTGCGGGCGCGACACCGAGGGTTGCGATCCCGTTACCGGTCAGTAAAAAAAGACAAAAAAAAGGAAAAAAAAAATGGTTCCTACAAATCAATAAGAAAATAACTGAGCATAAGAACTGCCAAATCTGAACAGAATACATCAAATGAGAAATAAAAATGGCCATAAATACAAGAAAACACATTTAACATGACTAGACACAACACTTATTTGCCTATCAAATTGTCAAAGACTTATTTTAATCTTGAGCAAGAGACAGCATTGTTGGACAGCTGAAAAGAGGCCTCTTCCACACTGTCATTCTGCCCTTATGAAGGGCAGCAGGTACCCAAAGCCTCACACCTACCATAAATTCTGACCCATTTACTCTACCTGTAAGAACTGAGGCTGAGGAAGTGTAAACATCCATCTAAGACAGGGTTCACTGCAGCACTGCTGAAACAACACTGATGTCAGCAATAGAGTAAATACTACATTTAGTCATGGCACACCCAGCTGATACAGTCATTAAAACATGTAGAAGAATATATGTAATAGAGTAAAAAGTCTGTAATTTATTAAATACAAAAATTATAAAGTATGATCCTAATTTTGTTAAAACTGAAAAGAGAAAATAATAAATCCCTGAGAGTATTATGTCGAATACTAATATGCTGCTATTAATCAGAGGTAGGACTGTAAGAGATTTTAATTTTCTTCTTTACACTTTAATGTACTTTCTAGATTTTATGCTGTAAGTGTAATTGCTTATATATTCAGAAAAAAATAATGCATAATAAAATACATTCTACTTGGGGTAATATTAAAAACCTTTTCACATATTTCAAAATGCAGAATTACAAACAGTCAATAACTTTTATTAACATAATAATATAAAAAATTTTAGTGTGATATACAGAATTCCCATCTACTTGGGGTAATATTAAAAACCTTTTCACATATTTCAAAATGAAGAATTACAAAGTCAATAACTTTTATTAACATAATAATATAAAAAATTTTAGTGTGATATACAGAATTCCCAGAGAGTAACTTTAAAACATTTTAATGCACTTCTTAAAATCTGAATTTACAAGACACTTTGTCTTATTACTGCCACTGACCTTTCAATACAAAAAGTTTACAATTTTTGTTTGCTATAAAACTACAGCAGTAAGATTGGAGTTTTATGTAGTTTTTTTTCCTTCCCCAGCCATTCTATTGTAAGGAATGTCCATTGGTCCACTGCTAAAACCTCTGTATGTCAAACAATAAGTTACACAGATTCTGTACATAATTACAACAGGACATTAGAATTCCAGGACGTTGCCACATACTATGCTGCAGTCTTACACCACTGGCAAACAGGGCTACTATGCACAGTGCTATTTGTAGCCAAATGCAAGTAAGATGTGAGAGCTGGCCCAGTCAGCCAGACTCATTTGTGGAGAATTAATAACAGCTTCATTAGGCACTGATCCAGGCTAATTTCAGAAAAACCTGGTTGTTTCTGTGAAACATGCATGATTAATAAACTTTCCCATCCCCAACACCCCCCAAAACCAACAACTTCATAACATACTCTTAATTAGGTATATAAAAATAATCTGTGTCTTAGATTCGTGCTTGACTTCAAATTCTTAGAAATAAGGGGTTTTACATTCTCTTCTTTGATTTAGGTTCAGTATAATATTAGATAACAGCTTAGTCAAGTTTGAATAAAATAACTGAAAACGGTTTGGCCAAATTTATTGGCACACAATTGAAAATGCAAAAGCCAACGATGACTATAACCATCCCCACCTTCCACGTGGGACAAGGCTCTCCTTGCTACTCCTCAGCTGTACTGCAGGACTCTCACCAAACAGCAGTAAACATGTGAAAACCTCACACTTCGCCACCAATGCTTCCAACTCTGTTGACTTGGAATAAAAATAATAATCCAGTACAATTCAATGAGAAGAATTAATATTGTAGTGTTAGGAAAACTAGCAATTTAACTAAACAGCATAAAGTTACAAACCAGGAAGGTGATTTAAAACTAAATACTGGTTTACCTTCTGAACAGATGATCTAACTTGACAGTCCAAAATGGCACTTAATGAGTATTAGTGACAACATATGCAGACATGGCGGCACACCTGTTTCAACATGGAAACTCGCAAAGAGGAAGCACCGTGAATGGCCACAGTGCAGTCGCAAGTGGGGGTGGGGGGCCGGGACATGTTCCCTTTCCATCAGCCTCACTGGGCTCAGCTCCACCCTGTGAAACAGAAGCCTGGCAGCTGTTCCAGCAGCCTTAAAGTTCTCTCCAGCATAAATTCTAAATATGAACTTGTCATTTGAAGTGGGAATAAATAATTGAATTTTAAAAATCATGAACTATATTTAAGCCTAAAAAAAGTGCAAATTCACAGTACAGCAGAGAACAGCCATGGTGTCTCGTTCCTCACGATGTCCACACCCGGCCTTCCCTTCCTTTGCCCAGTCTCTCCATCTGTTAAAATACTGACACCCATGTTTTTGTAAATGTACTTGGCAGACTCAAAATATTTCTTTAAATAATTCAGGAAGTGCTTTCTAAAATGAGGTTTGGGGAACTTTTGAGAGGGATCTGTAAAAGCACAGAAGGGCGCTGTTGTGAAGACTGCACGCCCTTCTCCCAGTGGTGGAGACACCGCAGCGTCTTCATGCGTTGCACTGGTTCCAACGCTTTGACATCCAGGTCACGCCCATCTCAAGCACTGGGGGCTGGTGTGCTAAGCTTACATGTTGTAGGCAACATAGATTGGGTCTAGCTGGTCGGCCAGGAAGCCATCTCGCAGGTGCATACGCTGCTTCTCACCCCGAGAGTTGATGGGGATCACGCCCGGGTCCACAATGACTACCACGCCCACAACCAGGTAGTGCTCCTCCAGCACCACGTTGGTCACCAGGGCCACCAGGTCCAGCGCATCCTGCTCCAGCCCATCCAGCTCCACCACTACCACCAGCAGGTTGGTCCAGGTGAACACAGCACTGTGGGGAGAAGACACACCACAGACTGCACCACATGGTGATAGGCACAGGCTTTGGGGGCCAAAGGACATTTGGGTAAGAGTGCCAAAAAAAAGAGTGAAAAGAACTGGTATATGTTCATCAATGTTACACTACCCTTTAATACCATTAGCAATTTAAAGGTCAGGCTGAACATGTTTTACAGGAGAATCTATTCTAATTAAAGTTCTTGCTGAGAATCAAGAGTATTATTTGATGTTGAAAGCTGTACCTGTCCCAACCCAAGTTCCCTACCAGGTGAAGAAATCATGAATTACAACCATTTAAATTAAGAAATGTACTAAACAATTAAATCAAGAAAATTTAAAGTTTCTGTATTAAAAGTAGAAGCACTTCAGGATGCAAACTATGAGATCTTAATGTTTTGCCTGCACATTTGGGGATGGTCCTGTGGTTTAAAACAGATTAGCAAAAGAAGAAAAGACAAAGACAGCTGGACATGCTGTCGCGCCATTTTTCACTGAGAATGTCCAGAGGGAGAAGGACCCCCAAGAAGTCCCAGGTCTTCTCCTGGAGGGTGGGTAGCTGCCAGCATATCCAAGGTGGACAGCGTTTGTCTAATATGGCAATCCAGCTCCGCCAAGGGCACAGGTGACCATACAGAGGCCCGTCTCATGACCTGGCACTCCCTGGCTGGCTCTGCCCCAACTGACATAGTGCTCGTGCCCAGAGGAAGGGCTGGGTGGACAGTGCAGGAACTGCCCTCCACCTGGGCTCTTACCACTCGGCAATGCTCCTGTGTGCTCGGATCACAGATGTCTCAATGTCGATGGGGTGGTACCGCATGCCTCTCAGCTCGAGCGTTTCATCCAGAGAACCAACAACATACAGCGCATCATGCCGCTCTATGAATAGCACATGTGTCCACATACTCAGAAAGGCAGGGTACTCAGTGATTCAGGACCCCCCTGTGTTTGTTTGCATGAGCCCCAATAGGAGCTCTCTGGCACAGGGAGGTCTCACCTCAAATATCATATGGTGTCTGTGCCTTGCACAGAGATGGCTGGCAGAGGTGCTGGCAGCTCAGTCTGTTATCTCTGCAGTGAGTAGCCACCTCAGGAAAGTTACAGCAACATGCAAATATGTATTTAAAATAATATTTATCTCTGGAAACAAAACACCTACAGGGGCTACCAAAAGTTCTGACTTTCTCTGGCTGGCCTGCTGTGGCTGCACAGGGGCCTCTGAACACTGGCCACACTGAACAGGTTCAGTGTGGGGAGTGCACCACACATGGCTGGTGAGTCGTGAATATCACCGTTGATGCTGGTGAAAACGTAGCTGCTAGGAAGGCTGGCTCGGCCTGGGAAGGAGCCTGGTGACCTTTTCACCAATAACCACGCCTCCCACCATCACTACATCCTCAGCAGAGGCCAAGGGTCCACGGACAGTGAGGGAAAACCATAGAGGCAAAAACAGTAATTGTCAGAGAAAACTGCTATCAAAGTATGTCCTTTTCCCCCACAATGAACAAAATCACAGCAAGGAGTGTGGTGCACCAGCAGCAGGTAACTGAGGGCTCTCACAAAACCCAAGACATCTCAGCATGTGAGTCAGGCTCACAAGCTGCAGCATCACAACTTCCTGTGGGATGCAGCAAGACCCTCCCCCCCCCACACACACAGTGCTGATGGGGCACTTCCCCACAACCTCTCACCTCCACTGGCATCAGTGAGCTCTGTTCTTCGGAGGAAGCCGAGGTAGCCAGTCCTTGCCCAAATGGTCTGTGTGTCTCCAAAACTCAGCCGGGCACTGAAGTGGTCAGCATGAAGTGCCTCCTCCCCGTAGACTGTGTAGTATCCGGTGGCGTTGTGCGGGCTGCTCACCCAGATCTGGTAGGGCCCAGAGGACAGGAACATGGGTACATTACAAACCCCCAAGTACAGATTCTGTTGTAATGCTCATGAAAACACTGAACAGGGGCAGGAGGGTAATATGCAGAGTCTCTTACTTTGTGAATTAAGTTAAAATTATATGCACAGAAAGTAAACGTAACCTTTCTCTCCTTAAAGTGTTCCTTCCTTTGACCAGGAATGATGTTTGTTGGACTCTATCCTAAGTGCATGAGTGCAGCAGTAATTCCACAGTCCTCACCTCAAACTACTGTTAACAGTTAAGGGAGAACTAGGAGAAATGTAAATGTGCACAAGAGGGACATGCTGAAGGTACAAGGGTCACTCACAGACTGGGGAGTGTACAGCCCTCAGACTCACACTGAAACATGATGAACCCACCACACAGGCGACCATCCCAGAGTCCACGTGTGCCCCATGCTTATGTGTTTATGTGCACAAGCATGTTTATGTGCCCACATAACTGTGCACACATACATGTTTATGTTCATGTGTGTATGTGCACCCACATATCTGTGCACATGTGCTTATGTGTCCACATATCTGTGCACACACAAGGGCTTATGATCAAGTGTTTATGTGCACCCACATATTTGCATATGTATGTGTTTGTCCACATATCTGTGTGCATGTTTACATTCACATATTTCCGTGAGTCCACATATCTGTGCACACATAAGTGCTTATGTTCAAGTGTTTATGTGTGCCCACATAACTATGCATACATTTTTACGTGCGTCCACTCCACATATCTGTGCACATGTGCTTATGTGTCCACATATCTGTGCACACACAAGGGCTTATGTTCAAGTGTTTATGTGTGCCCACATAACTATGCATACATTTTTACGTGCGTCCACATATTTGTGCACATGTGCTTATGTCTGTCCACATATTGTGCTCATGTGAGAGTTGATGTTCACATGTTTTTGTCCACATATCTGTGCACACATAAGTGTTTATGTGCACCCCCAAATTTGTGCACGAGTGTTGATGTTCATGTGTTTGTGTGTCCACATATCTGTGTACACGTAAGTATTTATGTTCAAGTGTTTATGTGCACCCACATATCTGTGCACGTTTGTCCACGTGTGTACATGTGTTTATGTGCATCCATATATCCATCACACATAGGTTGTTATGTTCACATGTTTATGTGCATCCACATGTCCACATGCACTTGTTTATGTGCACCTGCATATCCGTGCACATGTGAGTGCTTGTGTGCATCCACACACAGACCAAAGGCTGGAAGACTGTGTCTTCGATACTCAGAGGGTTATGGGACCTGTGTTAGTCTGTTTCTGTTGCTTATAACAAAATACCTGGAACTGGGTAATTTGTAAGAAAATGAAATCTACTGCCTACAGTTTCTGAGGCTAGGAAGTCCAAAGCCCAGGGAACACAAACAGTGAAGGTCTTCCTTAGTGGTGGCTTCAGTGACACAGGGTATCACATTGCAAGACAGTGGAAGCAGCAAGAGACTCTCATGTGCTCTCCTTTTGAAGCCCTCAGAACCATGCCTATGACCACCATTATTCATCGATTCATTAGATTATGGTCCTCAGAATCTAATTACCTCTTCAAGGCCCCATCTTTCTTCCTTCCTTCCTTATTTATTTTTATTTATATATACACATATAAAAACATCTATCTATCTATCTAATCTATCTATCTATCTATCTGTCTAATCTATCTATCTATCTATCTGTCTAATCTAT